CAAAGCAAAAACAAGTAGATGTAGTTGTTGGAGATAATAACAAACAAAAGTTTGTGAGTCCGAGTCCGGGTTTGGTGCTACAATATTAGGATAGTAGAGCTTACAAACGGTGAACAAACAAAGAAGAACGCAGATCCCCAAAGCATCGAGCTATGAAGCGGACACTGTCTGATGTGGAAGCTTTACTCAAACGGATAGATACATATCATCACCTCAGAATGCACTTTAGGAGAAGGCGCCCATGCCCGTTCGGGTACGACCTTAACAGGAACTCCTATTTGAAGAGGAGATTAGTACATACCGACTTAGCAACAAATGTTGTCTAATCATGTTCTGTAGAACATCACCGTGACGCTTTTGGTTATCTTCTGACTTAGCGCAAGTAAGCTTACTCAAATACTTAGATACCACCCTCACGTGACGTGCGGGCCCCAGTGCAAAAGTTTCCTTCCTGTCTCTCGCTTCAGACATTCACAATATTTTTGGTTGTCGTCGGTAGCTGCGTCCACGGGTCCCAGGGGCGAAAGTCGTATCTAGCTAGTTTCTCAGCTGGTCCATCCGTTCCACGAACGCGTCTGCAGAATTTGTTAGTGTTCTTCCTCGGGGACGTTTGGCTTCGCGAGGAACCACTCAGATGTTCTTAGTGTTCATCTGTCGTCTGTTCTTTTTATGATGTGACCGGCCCGTCGATGTTTGGCTTTCGCAACGCATTCCGCTGGGTCACGAGGATGGGACATTCTTCTCATATCTGTATTGCGAAGTTCGATAAGGGGTTGTTTGTGTCGGCTCATCTTCAGAAAACTGCGCTCGAGCGCTCTGTGGGTGGTCCGTAGAGCCTTCGACGTGGCTACGGTGTCGGCCCAAGTCTCAGCTGCGTAACAGAGCGTCGAGAGGACGGTTGAGTCGAAATGTGGGGACGAAGCTCCGGGTCCATCAGTTCGTCGATGGGTTCCTTTAAAGGCCCGCAGGCGCTCAGATTGCTTTTCTCCTCCTGCTATGTTTTTCCCTCAAGTCGTTCTCCGTGTTCATCGAACGTCCAAGATACACGCAAAAAGACGTCTCCATAATAGGGTTGCCTTCCAATATCATTTCTTCATCTTTCCAAACGGCTTTTTCCATAAACTGAGTCTTCTTCCAATTTATTCGCATATTCTTCCCTACTTCATTTAGTTCCTTCAGCATCGTCTCTGCTCAAGTGATACTGCTCGGGAAGAGAAGGATGTCGTCCGCAAAAGGAAGGTTAAGCACGAATCTCCCGTCGACTCGTATGCCTCTCTCGTCCCAGTCCAGTGACTTCATCACCCACTGCAAGGCCGCGGTAAATAGCTTTGGCGAAATTGTGTTGCCTTGTCGGACCCCCTTCCCAACTGGTATGGTCAGGCGCGATAGGCTGCGTCGTTGTTGTACACTCCTTGTAGCGATCGGCTAATGTCCTCACATAAGCTGTCCACTCCTTGATCGACCGGCGCAGACAGGATGGCGTTGGTTTCGACGCTGTCAAAGGCTTTCTCGTAGTCGACGAAGTTTAGGACAAGAGGCGGATTCCCTGCAGACTTCTATGTCCTCGAAACTGTCTGGATGTGGTCCATGTAACTGAATCCTTCGAGGATCCTCCCTTTCTCCCTTCTTGAAAAGAAGGACGGCTCTTGACTTTTTCCATTGGTCGGGAATCCTTTCCTCGTGTAACGACATTATGGCTAATGAAACGCTCCCATATAGAAGATTCTCCAACTCTAGGAAACTGGTAGTCGTGTTGTTTTGCAAATGGAGTCAGCCGATGTGATTCGTTGCAGACGGTTGACGCAAACTGTTTTGTATTCGGTGATCCAACCACGTTGGGCTGAGCGAGAACAGCCTGCTAGGAGGACCTTAGGGCCAGCTCAAGATGCGATGACATCTGTTAGAACGACAGCTTAAGAATTTTGCAACAGTGCGGTAAGAGGTGGCTATTAAGTTGAACATTAAGTTTTGCAACTTTCTCATAACTTCCATCTCACTCAACATGGTGCACTCAAATTTTGCCACTGTGTTGGTTATTATGTATACTACAAGCGCAGCTGCTGTCCTACCAAATTCTGACGTCGCAGTGAGGGTTACGGTAGGTGTATGGTATGAAGAGGAAAAATTCAAAGTTTGACGGATTTGGCTGAAACTTGGCATAGGGATGTTATCCGACATGCTGATCACGAAAGCGGTAGTGAAATTGCGTGATAAGGGCTTCTTTGTAGGATTACTGTAGGCGTACGATATGGGGTCTCACCCTAAACTAGGGAAAAGGCGTTGATTCAACAATACGATATTCGCATTCGGCAGGTCAAACAACCTATGTGAAGTCTCGGCGGAATTTGAGCTTCTGACTCTTTAGTCATTGACGGTCGTCCCCAGCAGCTCTTGCGTACATCGACTCGTTCGACTTTATGAGGACGCCAAATCTCGACATGCCCACAAATTTTGTTTCTTTCTTGCTAGGCCAAAGAAGTCAACCTCTTGCAATAACTTGTAGACGAATCCGGATTACTGCGCATGGTCTAGGCTGCCAAAGGGTTCATTTTAGCTTGAAGCCTCAAAAATTCTCAAATTTTACTAGTTTTCGAAAAATGCCTGAAACTTTTCTATTTCGTGTTTAAAAGTTGAACAATTTGTGCTCGTAGCTCACGTTGCATTCTACATGATGCCAAAGTTTAAGTGCGCCATGTTGAATGAGAGTGAAGTTATGAAACAAGTTGCAAAACTTAGTGTTGAACCTAATAATTTACACGAAGGTACGCTCCAGACACTCTGCGTCTTGCCACAGCTCGTATGTAGCCTTTCCTTTTCATCTTTCGACTTGCTTAGGCAAAAGCAGCCACTAAGTGTGTCCGCGCTACTTTGTTCTTCCGTGAACATTTCGTGAGAGGCTATACGCATAAATAATGCATGTATGAAATAGTTTTGAAACCTCTTGTATCTTCAAGGCATTTCACTTCACGTAGCATCAGGTTTCAAATTTTAGTACTTGATAAACTCACGAAAAAGAGGGAGCAAAAAAAGAGGAAGAAAGAGAGAACGAAAGTTAAAGCAAAAGCGAAAAGAAGAGCGCCAATTTTTGGTGCACTTGTCTAGAAATAGGCATCTCGGTGAATTTCCGAATCAACCAAGATCTACTTACCCAAATCACATAAATCCATCCTGCCATCTCCTCTGTGGCCGCATCGTTCAAACATGTAAATGAAATGAATTATATTTCCTTTGTATCTGGTAAAATTAGACTAACAGTAGCTGATAAAACAATTTTCCTGAGAATCATAGTTATTCTAAGACGAAAAAATTTGCTAACCGAAAAACTGCAAAAATCAATACATTTTGAAAAAGACATTCTATGTGTCCCGAACAAAATGGCTTACTAACACACTCCCCACCCCATGCATTATGTATGCCAAATTTGGTTTATCTGTTACTCTTTCTATCCTTTTTAAGCGAAGATACAGAAAGTGGCTTAGTCAAATATTATACAACTATAGATTTTCTGACTTGCTTCATAATAACTCGCAGTCACTCATGGGTGGAAAGTTGCGTAGTCTTTTTGTAAGCATTCGATTGAAGGTCCTTTTAGAGCAGATGAGATTTAGGAGTGCTCGAGATTCCGTCAAATCATCATTTTTGCTCCATATTATATCTTCCCACTTCACACAGATTTGTCTTTTTAAAGAACCGCACTGCGCAGATTTTGCTGTTTGTCTTAGAGGCCAGAGACAGTCCAAGTGGTGCTGGCTCACATATACCTAAGTGATACAATTTTGTCAAATTTTAGTAAAACAGGCAGTTGAGTAAGAGTGGAGTCATGCGTTACACTTTTTTCTAAACAGCAGCACTCGCCTTTCTCAAACCCAAAACTCGCAAAAGAGTGGTTCTGGGTTGAGCAAGTCCAAGGTTGCGGTTTCAACTTGCTACTACACTTAAAGTGATGTTGGAGAAGGTAAGACTTGTGCGTGACTTCATCTGCTTCAGTAGGATTGATTTTGGAGGACACTGTAGACATTTACAACATTTCCAAGAAAAAAAAAACAGAAGCTTTAAGCTTTGTACCTAAACTCGATAACTTCATGAAGTTCGGCAAAATTGTTATAATGATTTCGTTTTCGTCAACGCACTCTTCATGTCAGTTTTAGTTTCTAAAACTTTAGATCTTTAGAAGTATCTTTTGTCCTTTTGCAGGGGTAGAGTTCGCGTTATGTGTGCACATTGAGGTAATGGTGTGAATCTGATGATTACAAAATCACTTATGATAAAACTACACCTGTAAAATCTATAACAAGGTAACTTTCATTCCACACCAAATACTTGAACATTTGTCTCAAAATACAGATGAATACGGGTTTTGAGTGATAAAGCTACTGGAATAGCAATAATGAATACGGGCGCTGCTCTTATCTCGAAAAATTTGACACTTTTTTGTAAAAAAAAATTGCTCAAAACTGTTTGTCCATTGTCATTTACAAGTACTACACATTTGCTGTAACTATTATTTGCTTGTAATTGGGTACCAAAAAACAATTCATAAATGACTGACTTACAAGAGCTCTTATCAGTGGTGGTCCCAGAATTTCCGTCCCGGGGGGGGGGGAATTTTTTCAAATGAAGGTGCCACGATAGCCATGCACTCCGAAAAAATTTTTGGAGTGCTTCTTGAAATTTTTTGGGCCCAAGATCCCTAAAATCTAGGAAAAAAGGGCGTGGCGTCAGCCATGCCCCCGAAAAATTTTTTCACAAGGCTAATTTGAATCCTTAAAAAATTTTGTTAATTACGAAATAAACAAGTCATTTGACATTTTTGTAATCCTTATAGGCGAGTTAAAAAAGCAGTATATATGTTTAGGAAAAGCCAATAAACTTCCAATACTTTTTACTCTCAACTCCTTGTGTTGAAGTGTTTATCATAATGGAATTTCAATTTTTTTATGCGGTTGTGAGCATCGCAAACAAACTTTCAAAAGTAATCTTATTTTTCAGAGTCAACTTACCTAAGCTGTTCTCATTATATTTGTAATAGGCGTTCAGTTCGTGCAGCAAGATTGTCTCGGTTCTTTTTCGTTGATCTTCGGCAGCTGTGATGTCATCTAATGTAGCAAAGTCGTCAACGAGAGAAATTCTGTTGAAAATATCTTCCATATCCGAAAAATGCAGGCCATATATGTTTTCCACGCGAAGATACTGCAATACAAAGCGGAGATCGATGCGTAGCAGTATTATTGCTAAGTATTGTTGGATTGTTGCGAACTTAGGACCAATTATTGATATTTAAAACTTGAAACCTACGACAATCATGCAAGCAGATTCTTTAGGGACAAGGTACATGCATGAGATCGTTTTACTTGGAAGTAAAGTTTTATCATAGCGTTGTCTTGCTACTCTCCATTTTTGCGAAAAGGTGACAGCTTGTTTTTGACGCGCTGTAAGTTTGACGATAGTAGACTGTGGTGTGTATAACATGTTAAAGAATCCCGCGTAGCAAGAACGAAAGCAAGCACAATTTCAACATTAACAAAAGTTGTTACAAAGGATGTTCTCAGCGGGTGTTTATGGAGGGCTTGGCGGGGTGTTCGAATCTTATACAAATATGTAAGTTTGGGTCTTATAAAAATGTCACAGTATCGCTATCCTGCATAGGCCTGCATCTATACTGCAAGCGTGAACACTGTTTTTTGATGCACACTTTTTCTTACTTTGAGACAAAAAAACACTTTTGAAAATAATTTCACGGTAATCTATCTCCGCTCCGAAGATTAGATGTAGTCAGTCAAAATAAGGTTTCCATAATTTTTTCTTGCGACCGCAAAAAAGCTGCTCCTAGTAAATATTGTTCAATAGAAAATAATACTATGACAAAGTACACAGATTACCTCAAAATAAAGCTTGTCCAGCTCCTTCAAATCTCCTACAGCGACGTCGGTAAACCCAAGGTTGTTTCCCATTTTTTCCATTTTCTTTAGCAATGTCTAAATTGTGTCGATAAACGGAAGAATAACGATAATTTTTGATGGACTCTTTGCCGTCTTATCATTGTGATCAACATAAACATGAATTTCTCAGTTGAAGTTCCGTTGTGAAACATGCCATTACGCCAGTATTGCAATACCCTGCTTAGAAATTGCTAACTCTAAACTCCTCTCACAGCTGATATTGAAATTTCATTCCGGTGTTTATTCACAACTTGCGCGTTTGTACATTTCAACACACTAGACCAAACTTTATAAGGGTGACCTTAGAAGCTTTGTGGATTAGATCATGTGTCCAAACATTAACAGTGAAGGTAAATCCAATAATTAGCAACCTTTCGCTTTTACTATCACTATGCGAGTATCAGCCTTACTCGTATGAAAACACATCAAGTAACATTATCGTACTTCCTTAACACCATTACGCGGCTACCGTACCCACTTTGATGCGAATTATCAACATCACTATCGCGGCGAATCATAGCTTGGCTTTTCCGAATGCGTTTCAGTAAGTTGTGCATGCGGCAACGTGTGCACTCTACGAGCACGGAAACGGCATTTGACAGCAAGGTTTCAGGATCAAAATTGCGATCTTCTCTGAAACCCTGAAGAAAACGAAACGCGTCGAGACGTTAGGTCAATAAAAATTTATGTTATCGTTTTAACTCAGGAAGACATTCGGCACATCAAGTTAAACATGTTGGAATTTATTGTAAAATTTCTAATCTAGCCTTTTAGCAGATTTGAGTTTCTAACACAAACATTTCCGGATATCAAGCAACTCTAATGGAACGTTTTCGAAGTTTTTGTTTTTTGTTGGGATCCCATGATGTAAACTCTAACAGCATCGTTTTTTCTGTACTTTTATGAGGTTGTTAACCAAGTTTTGCAACTAACTTTACAAATTCTCTCTCTTCGTATATGACGCAATCAAATTTTGCCGTTTTTGTGAACTTTGACGTAAGCTTCAAGATTCTGACGTCGCAGTGAGGTTTACGGTATACGTGTATGGTACAAGGGAAAAATTTTAGATTGTTACAAATTTGGCTGAAACTTTGCATAGGGGGGGGGATGTGAGGCAGGGATCTGACATGTTGATTACAAAAAAGGATATTGGATTTTTTGTAAGATAGCTGTTCGTTTCACGATATAGGTGTCTTACTTTAAACAGAAAAGATGCGTTTATTTGACAAATGGATACGATATTCGCATTCGGCAGGTCAGTTAACCCACTCTTTAATCATTGGCGCTTGTCCCAAGCAGTTTTGCGTACATTCGGCTCGTTCAATTTTGTTAGGATCTCGAGTTTGCTTCGAATTATTTCTTCTTTACTGGGCTATATAAGTCAACCTTCATAACAATTTGTGAACTCCTTGGGATCGTTGCGCACGATCTAGGTTAAAAGTGGCTTTATTTCTACTTATTCTTGAAATTTCTATATTTTGCTATCAAAAAGCGAGCGGTTTATTCTAGTTTATAGCTCACATGGCAATCTATACAATATCAAAATATATCACAATATCAATATCGAAAATTTAAAATAGGGCTCTGCACGAGGTGGCTTTCCGAAATTGCAAAAAACGAAGTTCCCTTTGACTTCACAATGAAAGGAGACATCGGCCATGCGAATAAGGAAAACTGCATGAAAAGTAACGGAACAAAACAAAAAAAGACGTCAAAAAACATCCAACAGATAGATAATTTTCGTATTTTCCGGATTGACAGCATGTTGTACCCAGCTAGCAGCACTACGCGCCTGGAGCAGCGTTGCCGCCGTCGTTAAAATCTTAAATAGGCTGTGACTAAGCGGTAAGGAGGGGGGGGGGGTTGAGGGGATTTAGAAAACAATTTATAGGGTTTGGGAAGCGATGAAAATTATGCAAAGAAAGTGGAAAAATTATGTGAAGGAGGGAAATTTTATGACTTTTCTTTTCTAAGTGGCTTGAAAACCACCCTAACTTTGAAAAAAAAAAGTTGAGCACGCCTTAGCTCACTTAATCTCTTGATAATTTTTCACACTTAATTCTAGCTCCTCATAGTCCATCAACACACTAATTTTGGCATCAATTCAATCTTCACTTCGCTTAAACAAGCTTTTTGTTTGTTTGGGAAAGCATGCTGCTGGCATGGCAGCAGCGCGCCTGTGGCAGCACGAAAGACAGCGGAGTGCTCTTCCGCAAACACGATATTTCTTTTGCTTTTCTTCCAGAAACGGTATCCAGCTTGCTTGGTAAGCCACCTTTGCCGTGCCCTGATATTGAAAAGCGAAAAGTTACGACATCATTGAAAAACTTAGTCAACAGCCTAAATAAGAGGTCTGACGCTTAACTTCAATTATGGTTTTTACCTGCAAGTTTTTGACATACCAATGTCCCAAAAGTGAAGGCTACTGCATAACGAAGGCGCAGAAGCGGTATCAGCTGAGTGGGCGCGAACGCGGCGCGCGCGTATCTTTACCGTTGTAAATTCTGCGCCTTATGCGCTCTGCGGCTAAAAAAGCCGCGTTCGACCAAAGATATTGCGCCTTCGTCATGCGGGTGGAGGAACGAACACCTCAATTAGGCACCGCCTCCGCGGACCACTGGTCCCAACACGATGCACAACAGTAGGAGGAAAGGACCAGCAGCCCGCGAAGGCGATGCCTAATTGAGGCGTTCGTTCCTCTACCCTCGTCATGCAGCAGCTTATATGCCCACACTGTTTGATCGCTAATATCTTTTTTTCAAAAAACTCTTCTGACTTCAAACGCCATTTTTAGAGCTGGCTTCTACTTAGATCTGCAGTATGGTGGGTATCTCCAATCGTTCTTCATTATTGTAAGATCACGGTAGAAACTTTGAGAAGAATTGAGCCATTGGGGGCCCTGTTTCGCCTTGGAAAACAAACCAAACGACCTGAAAACTTTTATGCTAGGCTAATTTAAACCAGCACCTAAAACCATACATAAACAAGCGTGTGAAAAGCCTAGTACACGCTTTTTCAGAATTTTTGGAGACTTTTTGAAACACGATCAATCCATAATGACCCTATAAGCTGGAACCTACCGTAATCCTGTGTAATGAAGAGCGATCGGTAACTCCGTACGTTAAGTATACGCTGAAGCCAGTTAAAATGTTATCTAAAGGTAAGCAAAAGGCTTTTTGGGGAAAAAACATCAACGATCAAAAGTGTATACATACTTTGAGACATCCCGTATACTTATTTGTCAACAAAGACTTTTTCATAAAAGCGAAGCAAAGCCTTCACAAAGAGTACAACATATTTGCTTCTATCTGCCATTAAACGCAGCGTCCAGCGAACCTGGACATATGGAGATCTTACGTGGAAGTAATTTTGGGGCCCTAATCAAGCCACTGCCCAACCGACAGCTCAGGTAGTGTTCTAACGGCCAAGATATTCCTCTTGAAACAAGACCCCAGATCGCATTTCGCATGAATTTGTGGCGCAACCCATGGGTCCTTGCGCGAAATTGAGGCTGCGTTATGAATTCATGCAAAATACGACCCTGGGGTCCAGTTTGGAGGCGCATGTTTCAGCCTTTAATGAGTCTCCTGCGCTGCAACTTGTGCAGTGCCTTAGTTGAGGCCACAAAAACACTTTCCAGGAAAAATCCCCATAAATGCAAATTTGCTTGGACGCTGCTTCAAAAGTTGAAAGGTTCAAAGTTAAGATAAGCAATTCCAGCTCTCATACTACAACTTACGATAGTTTTTCTTATTTAAAAAGTTGAAAAGGAAGAAAAGTTGGGTGCAGAGAAGAGTTATGTAATTGCGTTTATGTTCTTGGCTGTTGCCATATTTTGAAAGTACGTTTGACTTCCAAAAAATCTAAAGAAGCTCCTTTTTATACATTACTTCCTGATCTATCTATCATCATTATTTATAACCAGTGCGTCACCTCTGCTTCGCAGAGGCTCGCACTGGCTCTACTATCCATATGCCTCATTACTTTGCCATAATGGTGGCACTGAAACTCACCGCGCAGTGGCCGACTACCACGAATAGGATGTAAACAACCATTCATTTTAAGGGCTTCTTCATGTGAGATTGGTGATTTCGCGAGAATGAAACTTTTTGCCGAAGAACAAATGCAAATTTGAGGGGGTTCCTGGATTTTTTATGGTTTGGTAGCTGCTATAAGGCCAATAGCCACCGTGAGCAACACTTCTGCGCAAAAATCTTCTCAAATGCGCCAGTAGGACGTTTTCAAATTGACCATTTACGCAACTAATCCATTTTGGCGTCACTTTCGCAAAGTAGTAGATTTTTTCCCATTATTTTGGCTAAAGTCCAAGGCTTGCATATTTACTTGTCAAAAACCTCAACGACTTCGCAAAAAGTGCTGATAGGGACCCAATTTTGTGAGTCAGAAGCGAAGTGGACCCGTTTGATTCGCAATTTCTGTGAGTTCCACTCAACGAATCCGCTCATGCTTTCGCATGGTGGAGTTTTGTGCTGGTAGCATGTGCTGTGCAAAATTTGGGCCCAGGACGTTTGCTGGAACTTGCGCTATGAATTTCGTGACAGACAGACATTCAGACACACACACACACAAAAAAACGTAAACACCCTTAGCGCGTTATTATAGTAGGATAAGGGGCTAAGGATGTTTACGTGACTTTGTGTGTGTGTGTGTGTGTGTGTGTGTGTGTGTGTGTGTGTGTGTGTGTGTGTGTGTGTGTGTGTGTGTGTGTGTGTGTGTGTGTGTCTGTTACGAAATTCGCGGAGCGTGTTCCAGCCAACCTCCTGGGCTCAAATTTTGCACAGTGCAGATTCGTTTAGAGGATCCCCCAGAAACTGCGTGTCAAACGGATCCACTTTGCATTTGGGCCGCAAAATTGGGTCCGTAATTCCACTTTTTGTAGAGTCATGAATGTTTATGCCAAGTAAATGTGCAAGCCGTTAACTTAGGCCCAAAAAAGTGATCAAATGTCCATTACTTTACAAAAACGGCGCCAAAAAGTATTGGTTGCTTGAATGGTCAATTTGCCAAGGCTTTAC